CCATATGAAATTTTCAAAAATTTGCGTCGGCAACCCAATTTTTGGATAAAAAGAACTCATATTGGCGTCGAAGACAATGAAATAAAGCCTAAATATCAGCGGGAACAATCATACTCTAATTATCTATCCAAGAGAAACTTAAGGGTACCTGAAAAATTCAATGGTAATAGTAGTATAAAATACCGAATAGTTGTTTCAGAAGCGTGTATAATTTGGCAAAACAAGCCCGAAACGTAGGCAAACTATATCTATAAGTGGGTTGACCTCGTTTTCGCAACTTAGCCTTGTTGTCAAGGCGACTTAGTAGAACGCACCTAGTCCGAAGTCGTCGGCCATAGTAGTTGTTATGATTCCCAGCATCAGACAGTGGACTTGGTACATTCCCAAACGTTTCGCCGGCCTGGTCTATCTATCTACTCTTTACCCTCTTATCCCACTGCAGTTTGAGAATGTACCAAGTCCACTGACTGATGCTGGGAATCATGATAACTACTATGGCAAGTGACTTCGGACTAGGTTCGTTCTATTAACTCGCCCTGACAACAAGACCAAGTTCCGATGAGGTCAACCCACTGCGACCATAGCAGAGGCCGCAACATCTTGGTCTTCATATTTTGAATTAAACTATATCTAGTTTTATAAAGGTTGTTTGACCTTGTTCTCGCAACTTGGTCATATTGGTAGGAAGACTTAGAGGAACGCACCTAGTCCGGAGTCTATTGTATGCATGATCATTTCCAGAATGTACCACATCCACGGTCCTACTCTGGAAATGATCATGCATACAATGGACTCCAGACTAGGTGCGTTCTTCTAAGTCTTCCTATTAATATGACCAAGTTGCGAGAACAAGATCAAACAACCTATATAAAACTAAAGGAGACTGGGATCACACAAAAGGTCGCACCATCTTGGTATTCATACCTTCGATATCTAGTTTTGTCTCTTCTATCAGTCTAGGGATCCTGCTAACTTAAAGTATTCCTTTTCATGCCATCAACTGATTCTACGGATGCATGCATTAAATTTTTTGTAATCAAGTTCCGGAATTATTGTCGACTTCAGAACTAATTATAGCCCCAAACTAGATAGTCGGTTAAATGAATCACATTTGAGTGCAGATAAGCTAGGCCTATCTTTTTTGATCAACCTTACCTCTTGCATAGTTTGATGAGATGCAAAGGCTTGTCCATGCAGTTTGCATAGTTTGACAGCCTTTTATAATCAACATAGAATCATTTGAGTCATAATTCTAGGTTAAACCGAGGGTGATAGATACTTTCAATAAAATTATCTGCACCCTTTATATTCTGTAATTTATTTGCAATGCAATCTAGACTAGTAAATTCCCAGTGGTCTCTGCGTCTTGTAGATAAGAACTTCTGTAAAAACCTCCCGCATAAATTGGTTCCTAGTTCGATGAGCTATTCTGCGCCTAATTTATTTTTGACGTTGATTAATTCGGCAAAAAATTGACAAAGTTGGGGATATTCTTTTCTTATTACACTGAGAATTCATGAAACCAGTTTTATAGGATATTTTTTGTCATTCTCTTACGGGAATTTCGAATTGTCTAAGCATTCCATCTATATTGTAATCTACCCAATAAAATAAGGATTCGACAAGTGGATTTGATAAAGGGGTCGGATTCTCGGGCATTCTTTGAGATTGAATCGAAATATCTATAATTCTTAAATAGCTTTAGTTGTTTATTTACTTTCAATAATTAAGAAGAGAACAATAGGAATTGAATTTTTTATTAAATATGCTTGATTTATGAAAAAACGTATTTACTATCTCAGAATCAAAATAGAGCAAATATAAAATTACACGATACATTGGCATAGGACAAGATGCAGGGTTATTTATCTATTAGCGGGATAAAATCATGTAAAATGCCTTTTATGGATCGCTTGAGTCTATGATTTGAAGGTAAGACATGCTATGAATTGTGCTGAATGTCTACATTTATTGATCATTAGAAATGAGCTCTTAAATAGTTCATAAATAATACGATATTTGTAAGTATAACAAGCTTGAAGGTAATTGGTAAAAGTGACGCTCTTTGTTAATATTAGGCTAGTTCAGATGGCTCCACCACCAAGGCATGGTTGCGGCTCTCGGTACCTTGTAATCCAGGCGTCACAAGGCCTCTTAACTAGCATTTGGTCTCTATGCATTCTCGTTTCTCGTACAAAAGACCACAGGGCTTGCCCTCCTGTCGGGCCGGTCGTTTGATGTGCCTGAAGCGCCACTGCACACCGGGCTTATGAGAAGCACAAATGGCCGAGCAGGGTCCCCATCCGCTCCAGACCGAGAGTTCGCAGTCCTGGCGTGGTCGAATTGCTTGCGACAGACGTTGCATATCGGAAGAGTCGATTCCGCTTTCTTGCCCCGTCATCCGATCGCCACCTTCGGAAAGAGTCTGATCCACGAGGGAAAAGAAAAATAGGCTAACATAACTTACAGGGTTTGGACTATTTGTACGATGGACTTGCAACCATCGACGTCATGGAGCCTAAATCAAGCCGAATTCAGATGAATTCTCTCGATTGACGAGTTGTAGCGTTGCACTGTGAGTGACAAGATTGACTGACGATGTCACCGAAACGTTTGGAAATGCACCAAGTCCATGGT